TATTTTAAAACTAATCTTTTTTCAAGCAATCTTAAGGGCACATCACTAAGTTGGCTTGGTTTATTAAAAAAAAATTAATATTTTTAAGTGCTGACCCGAAAACTGGAACTCTAAATGTGACATACAAATTGATACTTATATATTAGTGGATCCAACTATTTGACTTGTTATATAGTATACTTTTATTTTATGCCATAAAGTTATAAATTTTTTTCATTAAAAAGAATTTATAAATTTTAAAACAAATTATTTGCAAAAGCATCCACTTGTGGACAACATTCAAATGAGAAGAAAATGAACATGGCTAGTAAGGAAAGTGACGGTCAAATGCCAATTCAAATCAAAGTGAACGGAAGTTCCCACTCCCCACGTCAAATGGTCCAGAAGCACGGCAAATGCATTGCCCATTTTCAAAAATAGAAAAGAAGCACGGCAAATGACGACTTTGAAGATCCACGCCAAATTTCAAGGCCAGTAGTAATACTAATGCAAGTTCATGGAAAGGTGCACTGCACAAGTCCCTCCAAGGAAGAACCAATTCACATTCCAATACTAATCAATGTCCCCACTAAAACCTTTGACTAATACATATTATCAACGAATTATTTTTGAATTCTACAGCAACTTGTAATGGGGAAACAAACTTTTATTGTACACCATGTAGAATTAATTCATCATAATAACCACCTGTGCTATCAGTTCTTTCCCACCTTTCTACCAAACAGAAGATATGAGAGATTCAATTGTAGTGCCACAAATTGTGAGGATGGTTATCAAGTTTCATCCACTATTGATAGTAACTAGTCTTATCTATCAGGTAATACTTTCCAAGATTGGATTGAAGAGGAGGTGAGAAATCAATGGAAAGCCCTCAAGGTGTATTTCCAATCGACAATGAAATCTCTATTGGATCCTATTACTGAGACGATGAAGAATCTATCGAAAGCCCTTGAGATGCATCTCCACAACGAAGCGACAAAAGGTCATTTAAAGGCCAAATTGGTCGGTAAACTTGCCATGTTCCCCACTATATTTCTTCTATTGAATACAGAGTTAAGTTCAAAATATAATAGAGGAGGACTCAAAACTTAGTTATTAATCCTTATTGGCCTTGGCCCGTTAACACAATCAAAGCATTGGAGTCAATTTAAATTTCTTCGTGGAAGGTGCAGCTGCATTGTAAACAACAAACTTCTTCTTCTTTATTATAGCGCTTCTTTTTGCAAAATTTTATGATAATTCCTTGAGGGGCCTCAGTGCTATGTTGTGCATCTCAGTTTTTCATCTATGTGCACTAGTGGTATTAAAACTACAAACAGACCTTGGGTTGTTTAGTTTTATCATTGGAGTCATTAGATCTATTACTTACAACTGTTGTGAGTTGAAGTTTCGCACATGGATAATTGCTTCCATCTATTTAATTTGTGTTGTTTGGTTTCAAGAGCTGCTTAGATAAGCACTGGTTGGTTTGGAAGAAGATCCCTATACAAACACCACAACTAAAAGCGCTAGTGTGTTTTTTATGTTTTCATCAACTGCTATATATTTTGCACATAGTATCTTCGTGTCTTCTAATGTCAAATCTCCCCTATCAAACTATAAAAACTGGTTAGTTAACGCAATCGGTATTGTGTTTCAAAGTCTCTATAAGTTCTATCATAATTCCAAAGATAACTCAACGCCCTCTACAAATACCAAAGGAATCAATGGTTTGATTTTGATGGTTGTAAATATTGCACATGGCAAGTTCAAGTTTGCTCTTATTACATCTCCCATGGCCAATTATAAAGATTGGTTATTTGTGGTAATCAGCTATGTCATTTTCTGTTTCTGGTTACGAAGTTTTTTTTCCCAAAGATATGTTTCTGCCCTTTACAAATACCAAAGGAATCAAAGACAAGATTTGGGCTATTCAATCTATGACCAAATATGGTATTGTGGTGTTAGCTAGTTTCGAACCTCGAGTGCACTATAGAGAATGGCTGGTTACGGTAACTTGTTATGTGCTTTGGTGGGTTCAGTTTCGTACGTCATTTTCCAAAGATCTGTCACTACTGTTCAACACAATTGAATTTAAAGCTCATTGGTGGATAATGATGGTAGTAGTTACCATTGTTTCAGATGTCATATCTTGGATCGAACTATCTAGAACAACATATCATCAACAACAACAAAGATGAAAATGTTAGACACTAGCTTAAATCATAGTAAGTACTTAGATACATGCATGAAAATTTGTATAGTCTTGTGTCATTCTCTTTTCAAGTATATTTTTGTATCCAATGTCCTTATTAAAATCGACCAATCATCTATAAGTTTTTTGTCATTTTTGTCTTGTTCATTTGAATTTGTTACTATTGGTCTTTTTTTTATATAGATATCAAAATGGCACACCTTTATCTCATTTTAATTTAAGGAGAATGGTTGTTTTCCATCTAATTGTACATACTAATAAAATTGGATTTTGTACAACCTAACCTACATCTCTTGCATTATGGCGTGTAAGTTGTTTTGAAAAATCAATTCCAAAGAAATCATGTTTTCCTATGGAAAAGAGATTCAGATTTTATTATGAAATTGGAATGACTTCATGACTTGTGATAATGCTTGGGATGGGAGGGAGACACCCGAAGTGAGGGAGAAAGATGTTGGGGAAGGGGAGAAAGAAGAGAAGATTAATTTAGAGTGGGTCCCATTATATTAAATTTAGTTTATTAAGAAACAATAGTTAAGATAATTTTATTTTTATAAGTATAAAGGTTAATTGTATTTTTAAAAGGATAATAGAGTAAGGTAATTAGTAGTACTCCACTTCTTAGGATCAAAAGAAGAGTTATTATTAAAGTGGGTGAGTCTCACCATATTTAAATTAATTAGTAATTCTTTAATTAATATACTACCAAAATTTGTAAAACAAATAATAATAATAATAATAATAATAATAATAATAATAATAATAATAATAATAATAATAAGTGCTATGTTAACAAAGAAAAATTTAGGTTTAAAAATATCCACCTCAGTACTAAAATAATTTTAGAATTTCCTTGTGATATTTTAGGTTTAAAATTTTGCATTTTTGGGTCACTCAATGATCCATGTCGGCTGAAAATTAAAGATTTGGTTAAATCCCCGATTCAGTCCCTCAACTTTCATTTTTGGACTAAATTTACCCTCAAACTTCAAAAAGTACTAAAAATATCCTTGAACTTTAATTTTTGGAACCAATTTTATCCTTCCGTCAGTTAAGTGCTGACATGGCAAAATTTCCCGTTAACAAATTCAATTTTTATTAATATTAAATATTACTTAGAAATAAAACAAGTGATGTGGCATTTTTAATTATAAAAATATTGTGACTTGGCACAAAAAATATAATTTAATAAATAAAAAATTTTTTTCTTTCTTTTTTTCTTTCCTTTCCTCTTTTTTTCTCCCTCTCTTTCCTTTTCTCCTTCCCCTCCCTACTGGGTTCGAAGGAACCCAGCACCAACGCCTGGGTTCCTCGAACCCAGGCACAGGTCGAGGAACCAAGCGTGCTGGGTTCGAGGAACCAAGCGTGCTGGGTTCGAGAAACCCAGGCGCGAGTTCGTCGAACCCAAGCCCTGGGTTCAATGGAACCCAAGACGCCTAGGTTCCATCGAACCCAGGTGCGAGTTAGAGATGAAGTCCTTTCTATGAGGAATCAATGTGAACAAATTGCCATTGACGGCAGATTTCAAGGAGGAAGCTAGAGTCTCGTCTCCAAACAGTACGATTTCAAGTGTAAGTGGAAAAAGAAGCGAAAGAGACGGTGGAGAGGAACACAAGATCGACAGAGCCTCCTCTCGAAGCATCAACGACCAGGAAGATGGCGATACTTCTAGGAAGAAGCTCTGGGTTTCTAAAGATCTAGGTTCTTGTGTTTTCAAGAACCCAGATCTGGGTTCTCTTTTTTTTTTTTTATGAATTTTTTTCTAGTTTTACAAGAGAGAACCCAACATTTGAAGAACATACAAAAACTTAGATCTGTGCCTTTTGGAGCTTGAATTTGAAGGTTTTGTTCTGAATTTGGTGGTGCAAAGCAATGAGTTTTTTCCATATTAGTGTTTTTTGTAGCTTGAATTTGGTGGTTTTGTAGAAGATTTGGTGGTGCAAAGCAATGAGTTTTTTCCATATTAGTGTTTTTTGTAGCTTGAATTTGACGGATTTGTAGAAGATTTGATGGTTCAAAGCCTT